CCCCAAAACCCCAAAACCCCAAAACCCCAAAACCCCAAAACCCCATGAGGGAAATAAAGTTCTTATTTGACTTTATTAAAACAGTAATCAAAATAATTTTTAATTCTTTAACTAATAATGCAAAATTCATCAAATACTCAAATACTTCAGTTCAATAAAGCATAGAAAAACTAGTCAAGTGACTCTAGCATTCTATAGGATGATGATACCTCACTATAATCGCTTCCTTTAATTACAGCTCAGTTTCCTATCTTGGAGCTGATGCCAGCACTACAAAAAGGAAATTTATTTGAGGGTCAAAATGAGATTTCTCACGATTTTATAAAGATTAGCTAAGAAATTTCACCTGATAAAAGGTATAGAAACAAGAACATATCTGTTAGAAGCTCCCCAGCAAAGTTAAATAAAAACTAGAGTATCAATGGATCTCCATCTATCAATAGCATCAATGATCTTTCACCTAAAAAAATTTCACCTTGGATTGAAATTAGACTTCGAAAAGGTCATAGAGATGGTAATGTCACCTACTACAGAAAGAAAACTTGTGAGAATAATGTAATAAGGTTTAATGGTCAAACTGATAAAACTCTTATCAAACTTAAGCCAACTCAGTTTAAAAACAATGAAAATATAGACCAAAATAAAATTGGATCAGACAATAATGTACCAAAAATAAATAATACAGACGATTAGAACTAGACCATTTTAGAGCAATAAAATTACTCCTGTATGTTAAGAGCAATGAAAGCTCAATTATTAAAAGAATATAGGAATCGAAAAGCTTTGCATTCACATTAAGTTTAAGTATAAAAATCTACCAACCAGACTTCTACTGCAACTCCAAGCTCAGTGAATCCGTTCTTTAATATGATAAGAAGTAATCGAAAATAGTCCGCGGACAAGAATACTATTGATGTTTTCAAGTCTAAAGAATCTGGTAAGATAATAAATTTGAAACCCTCTGCTTTGGAAGTACAGAGCAATTCTACAACAACTAATCACAAGAGATGCAATGCTGTCAATACATAAAAGGCAGCCCTCTAGATTAAAAACATGCAATTCTCAAACATCTTTCACAAAAGAGCTAAAGACAGCCAACTCTTTAACGATTAGGGCCACAATCCTTATCCTCACCCAAAATCTTAAAATAGTAATAGATAATAGATGTCTACGATTCTTACAACTTAACCTTAAATCACTTCAAGACCTATTACAGCTTGTGGAGACCTCAAAAAGGAAAAAGAGAGATGCTTTCGTAAGGATCAATAGAAAGAAAGCAGCAAAATAAACAAGAGCTTTGACAATAGTAGGAGAAATGTTTAGGTCTCATATTCAATAGTAAATTTTGGAGAGTGTATAAACACCTCTTAATCTACCACATCCTCTTCTCTATTTTTAATGAAAAGGATGCTTGGAAATAAACGATTACTCTCTAATGACTTGTTGAGCTCTCTAGGAGATTCATAGAAGCAATTTGCATAATAGAACCTTCAAATGAAAATAAGATAAAATAATCTCAACTCTTCTGTAGTAATAAATACTGATGATAATTAAATTCAAGATATAACACCTAAGAACTTAATAGAATTCTAAATACCAAGGCCAAACATCCTTGAGAAGAAACCTTTTGAAGAGTAGTCAATCTACTAAAATAGACTAGCGGCTCAGAATCAGATACCATATTTAAATCTGAATGCAAATCACATTCAGACTCAATCAAGGGTTATTAAATCCAAAAGTAAGAAGTCTAGTAGATACATGAGAGCAGCTTCAGGCCAGGTAGAGAACTCTGATTATATAAATAACCAGGAAAATTATTAGAAATATATATTCTCCTAATAAATTCAACACAAGAAAGGTGGTGAGCATCGTCATTTGGATTAACAAAGGAAGATAAAGAGCACCATGAATAAGATAGGTGACATTTTTAGTGAAATAAGCTTGAAAAAGAACATTGATAATGAGAATAATATTTGTGCTATGGTAAGAAATATCCCTACCACAGCAAATGCTTGCATATGACATAATCATTAAGTAAATACTTTGAATTCTGAGTCAATATTTTAATTTTTTCGAAATAATTTTTAATTCTGTCCATAAATTTTTAATTATTTTATAATCCTGGGGTTTTGGGGTTTTGGGGAGATCGGAAGAGCGT